GTTGAGCTGTCTAATGAAGTTGCATTAGCGACAGTTGGAAAAGATGTGGTGGCACTTCATGTGTTATGGAGGACGCACGTGCTAGCCAGGGTGTGACAGGGTGGGCCAAGGTAGTGGCTGGAATTGGCAATAAGAAAACTGAATAAAAATCCCAAGAAAACACTGATAATGCTATATTCGGTCAAATTATTATTTTTTTAAAATACATTTTCTATGGTCAAAATTTAAAGGTATCCGTAATTATGTCAAGTCCAGGTCCCACCCACTAGCATCTGCAACAATCACACGATGCTACCAAGCTGAGAGGGTGAAGTCTAACACACGCTTCCCCTCTGCGAATTTAATGTCATTGGACAGCTGAATTTGCTTAGAGGAGAACAATTTGTTTTTTTATTCGAGCTTTAATATAACAAAAAAGATTTCCACACAGTCAACATAATAGCAGCTTAACTGAATGGCTAGCTAGTCATCATTCTAAGTCATCATTATTTCATAAACCATTTTCATTTCATTTTTTTCCATTATATACATTGTTGCAAGTGGGCTTTACATATACATATTACACATACATACTTTACACAAGAAAAATCAAGGCTATAATATGATTAATACCATCCTTATTAGTGAAATAACAATGTCTTTTTCATTCACATCAGCTGTTATTTTTTACATAAACTTGGTATATCCAAAATTACTACAGACATAAACTTAGTATATCCAAAATTACAAGGGACATAAACTTGGTATATCCAAAATTACAATGGACATAAACTTAGTATATCCAAAATTACAATGAACATAAACTTGGTATATCCAAAATTGCAATGGACATAAACTTAGTATATCCAAAATTACAATGAACATAAACTTGGTATATCCAAAATTACAATGGACATAAACTTAGTATATCCAAAATTACAATGGACATAAACTTGGTGTGTCCAAAGTTACTACGGATATAAACTTGGTATATCCAAAATTACAATGGACATAAACTTAGTATATCCAAAATTACAAGGGACATAAACTTAGTATATCCAAAATTACTACAGACATAAACTTAGTATATCCAAAATTACAATGGACATAAACTTAGTATATCCAAAATTACAAGGGACATAAACTTAGTATATCCAAAATTACTACAGACATAAACTTGGTATATCTAAAATTACAATGGACATAAACTTGGTATATCCAAAATTGCAATGGACATAAACTTAGTATATCCAAAATTACAATGAACATAAACTTGGTATATCCAAAATTACAATGGACATAAACTTGGTATATCCAAAATTACAATGGACATAAACTTAGTATATCCAAAATTACAATGAACATAAACTTGGTATATCCAAAATTACAATGGACATAAACTTAGTATATCCAAAATTACAATGAACATAAACTTGGTATATCCAAAATTACAATGGACATAAACTTAGTATATCCAAAATTACAATGGACATAAACTTGGTATATCCAAAATTACAATGGACATAAACTTAGTATATCCAAAATTACAATGGACATAAACTTAGTATATCCAAAATTACAAGGGACATAAACTTAGTATATCCAAAATTACTACAGACATAAACTTGGTATATCTAAAATTACAATGGACATAAACTTGGTATATCTAAAATTACAATGGACATAAACTTGGTATATCCAAAATTACAAGGGACATAAACTTGGTATATCCAAAATTACAAGGGACATAAACTTAGTATATCCAAAATTACAAGGGACATAAACTTAGTATATCCAAAATTACTACAGACATAAACTTAGTATATCCAAAATTACTACAGACATAAACTTGGTATATCCAAAATTACAATGGACATAAACTTGGTATATCCAAAATTACAATGGACATATACTTGGTATATCCAAAATTACTACAGACATAAACTTGGTATATCCAAAATTACGACGGATATAAACTTGGTATATCCAATGTTTCAAATGGACATGCAGCATTTTGGAATGAAACATTTCATTTGTTACAGAATCTGATCAGATTCTTTTGCCCTCTTATATCTGATCATTTTCTGTTGTAATCGGCATGATAACAACATTGAGTTAAAGATCAGGGACATCTCTAGTCTTAATCACTCAGTTTTTCATAACCTGGGGTTCCTCGCTCATATATCCTTCTAATAACCTCACGCTGTGTGAACTGCGGTGCGCGTGGCACGCTGAGACCAGGGGTCCAAGCATTTATCTTTGTCTTGAAGGGGGATTCCGTCTGACTGAATAATTAATGTCCAATATATGATGACTCTGCAGGAAACAGCGCTGTGTGTTTTCCCTGAATAATTGCAGTTGGGGTGTGTGCGTGCGCTCCCTCCAGGTGATCATATTTCAGTGCGCAGACTGTAGTGAATACACTAAAGAAGAGCTCGAGAGAGAAAATTACACCATACAATCTCTTTGGGGCCGTTTAGTGAATTAGTGTGAGTAACAAAATCTGTCCTTGACATTTTGCGCCTACTTTTGCTGGATTAATGGAGAGTTTCATAAATGCTGAAATAGAAGTTCATGGTTTCATTATAATTATGCTCGTCAAACCTCATTTCACAGGAATTGATTTTTTAATTGGGTCTCAGGATCACATTATCTGATTTATATCAGGCTGCTGTTTCGTAGCCTGGCATGTATACATGTGTCTTCTCATCTCGTGAGCAGACATCTGCATAGCAATAGTGAAAAGATTTTGAGGAGATGTTTTTTTCAGAATGTGATGGTTGTATTTACAGTAGTTTGGAAAGGCCGTTTGAGAAAATATCTCAGGTTAAGCTATTTATGTGGATTATACGATTCTGGCAGTATGTATTCTCACGTTTTGCGTGAGTCACACTGTATAGCCGCCACCATTTTGAGGACCGAATCAGGGATTGACTGCCTTCAGTTAGCTGTGCTTTGTGAATGATTCACCTGCAAGACGCGACAGAAGCCGAGAGACGAGAGACACTCAGACCTTTAATTCAGTGTTTTCACTCCAGGCTTGGAGCCGCTGCACTGTACAGTTTAGTGTTTCTCTCTGCTGTTCACCTCGTTCAGCTCAAGAAGGGCTTAATTAGCTAATAATATCAGGTATTTTAACCAGGAAACCACAGTTATGCAGTGCAGGGGTTTCAGGACTGGAGCTGAACTCTGAACTAACTGAACTAGCAAACTTACAGAATCACGTCTGTCGAAACACGACGTCGTTTTCCGACCCACGACATTCAGTCTGATAATTAACGATTATGTTTCTCCATTCAAACGTCATTTAAATCAGAAACAGAGAGTAAAGTTATACCGGCTGTCTGCAGCTCCGTTAGGGGGCGACTGTTTATCTCTCGGCTGATAACATCAGCTAAAGTTATCTAAAGGCCAGCATTGATGACATCTGTGTTAATTAGCTGATGTCGTTACCCTCCTATGATGACGGAGTGTGTACCCACCCTGACGTGAAGAGCCGGTGGGCTTCTGTGCTTTTTAATGCTGTGAGAGACTCTCCAGAATAGGGAGAGGGGCTGAGTATGAGATCAATATAAATGTCAGGAAACACAAATGTGGTATCTTTCCACCAGTTTAAGTGGAACCAGGAGTTCAGAGGAAACTGTATAAGGATCTCAGACTGTTTTATCGACTTTGTCAGTCCCAAATATGGGGGCCACAACAGAAAAATCACGTGACTGAAACTGAAATGTGCCAACGTGTTGCGGCCTTCCCTTTAATGACGCTATAGAGTATCCTGGATTGAATGATGTTGATTTCTTTCCTTTTCTTTGAACTTGTTTCCTTCCCATTTCCTTTTCTTCCTGACCAACAGGTGGCATAAGCTTGTGTCCAGTTAAAGGCCTGAGAAGGCCGCAGCGTGTCGGCACTTTTATCTTTTTTTAAGACTTTGTGCCTGAGAATTTCTTTGCTCTGGGATTCATTTGGCACATGCTTGTGGATGTTGATGGATTTATTGGTTTTTGCCACTCCCAGCGTAGAATCTTTATAGAAAATAAGATATTCTTGTTGCTTTTTACTCTGTTTATGTTTATTTGAATTTATTGTTATATAGTGTTTTATAGGCAAAGCACAACGACTGCCAAAATAAATATTTTTAAACAGTTTTCTTGGCTGCGTAAGACTTTTGCCTAGTACTGTATATCTCAGTGCTGGCCTGGTGTTGAAAGACAGAGCTCTGACCTGTCTGAGATTCTAGGAGTGAGTCACTTTTTCCATGGTCTGGATAGCACTGACTCTAGAACTCCAGTACTCCAAAACTTTCTGAAGAATAGGAACCAATAGCTGTAAATAAACTCACCTCTCTGGTCAGATGAAAGAAAGAAGAAAGAAACTGCAATATTTTCATCATTACTTTATGCCATCGTGCTGCTTCTGTCATCTGAGACCGGTAAAAATTTAATCTCGCAGATCCTTCTGATCTTTTTAAAGCAGGAGTGGGGAACTGAGGGCTGGAGTCCAGCAGGATTTGGTGATTTCTCTGCTCTAACTTACTGTAGTATGCAAACGTTTGAACACGCCTGGTCAAATAACGTTATGGTGATTTTCTGAATCCAAAATAAGTGAACACTTCTACAGGGAGCTTAAATATGGCATTTGCAGTTTGTAGGGCACAATTTTTGATTGCTTTAGATATTTAAATATTAAATAAACATAAAATATAAATTATGCCATACATTTTTCATAATGTATTGTTTTATTTTTTGTTAAATTAGCAAATAAACGGTGATTTTGCATATGTGTTCTCTGTAGAGGATGTGTTACGTCTGTACCTAGTAAATATGGAAATTAACCGATGAGTTAAATCTGGTGTGTCTGAGCAGAAAGATCACCAAACTGTGCAGGAATCTGGCCCTCCAGAGTACAAAGCTCAAAACTGCTTTACTGATTTTTCACCTGACTGTCCCTTTAACCAGCATGAACTTGTGAATATTGTTTGTCTGGCCACTTTCTAACGTTCTCTGACCCTCTTCTCTCGGCAGGCATTGCGAGGCCAGGCTGCAGGTAGTGTGAGCAGGAGCCCAGACGTAGGATCTGAGGCCGGCGCTCGGAGGGTGTTGCCATGGCGACCGGCGGGCAGACGGGCCGGTTGGTTGTGCTGTTGGCCGTGGTGGTGGTGGCCCACGCCTCCATCTTCCTGTCCAACCACAGGATGAAACCTCGCTTCAACCGGGACCGTCGCAACATCCGGCCCAACATCATCCTCATCCTCACTGATGACCAGGACATCGAGCTGGGTGAGCCACGCTACACCTTCACACACCTGCATTATAGTAACGTTCCATAAAAGAGAGGTAGGCCACATAGAAAAGCCATTTTCCAGCACACTGCCACCTGCTGGGCAGCAGCATTCCAACAGCAGCTGAAAACTACACCACCCTATCCTTCTGACCTTAGGTATGGTAACTAGCTGTATTTATAACGATGACAATCTAGATAAAACGATCAATATTAGTGGAACATGTTTGAGTAATTATACTTCAGAGAGAGAGGAGAACACACTGTAGCACCAGCGAAGAAGACGACGCGGGATACGCTGCACTTTAAGGGATGAATGCTCTTTTATTGAACACGTAGCAAGGAGAACCGCTGCTCAGCATTAACTGGCACGGCTGGGAAGCAGGCAGGTCACTTTTTACTATACATTAGGGGTCGGCAACATGCAGCTCTTTTACTGCCCTGTTGTGGCTCCACAGCAGAATCAGATTAGTAGGTAAAAATAAAATAATCCTCCTTTACAGTAAAATAAAGCTCTGCTGATCGTTCAACACAGTTTAACAATAAATGGTCTTAAACTCTGGAGTTAATGTAGAACTGCTGATTCACCCTTTAACCCTGAAGATCAGCGCAGACTGCTGGTCACCATAGCAACGCAGACAGTCTCCCCTAGCTAGTAGCTAACGAAAAGACAAACAAAAAGATTTAAGACGAACATTGATAATTTGAGACAGATGGACTTTTTTGCTTTTATAATCACTCCAGCTGGTTTCCTGATACGTTTACTCTGCAATGAGAAACTGACAAACACTAAAAGGTCGCCAAGCTGAAGTCAGTTTCTCATTCAAATTGTCCTGTCCCACCTTAAAGGGTGCAGCAGTTACATTCTGGCACCTCAGGCACCATTTAAGGTAGAACGTGAAACTTTGAACAAGAAGCTGGAGAATGAGAAGCGACTTCAGCCTCGTAAAAAGTTGAACGTTAAGAGACATTTTACAAGAAACTGTTCTACTTTTGTGGAGAAGTTTCCTGCCAGAGATGCAAGAAAAAAGCAGCTATAGCTGAGCTAAAGCTTAAAGCAGAGCAAAGTAAGTCTGCGTTTTCATTTATTTTATATTTTTTAGCCTATACTAGCACATCAGCACATACTGAGACATGTTTACAGCCAAGATTGTAGAATGTTACTTCAATAAAATGGACATGAAATGTTGTGGCTCCCAAGTTGGTTTGATTTTTGTTAAAATTTTACGGTTCTTCTTACGGTTCTTCTTAACATTTGGGTTGCCGACCCCTGACATATGTCTTCACTTCACTACTTCCCCACAGCCCAGCACAGTATAGCACAAAATATGTATCAGCACCTCATTGAGCTTTCAACGACTTAGTTACAGCACCTCCCGAGAACCGAGTTCCTGTGCATTTGAATTTTTTTTATTAAAACATCCAACAAAATTGATATCATTACAAAATTAAACTGCCCATGACTGTGCTAATTTGTGTTTGTGGCTGTACATGATTGCCACGCTACTCGCCACCAAACAAAGAAAACTTTTCATTTGTTTATTAAAGCATTTACTTTTTACTTTTATTTACTTGAGTTTTGTTTAAATACAGACACTACTTTACTTTTACAGAAGCATTTTTTGGCTCCATGCTTCCACTGAGAATAGAGTAAGACTTTAACACAGCACTCTCACTTAGGTACTTCTCTGTACATTTTCCATTTTGATATATTGTGCATTTATACATTTTGTAAAGCAGTGGTCAGTTCTGTTCTTGGAGAGCCACAGTCCAGCACACCTCTCTAGTACATCAACCAAACCTGGTCATTAACTGATGAGTTAAATCAGCTGATTTGAGTAATATATTGCCTCTGTCAGAACAAAACCTTGCATCTGCATTTATGTCATTTTAAATAATTTTGCAGAATTTGAAAATGCCAGCTGCCCCTCAGCATGCGTTAAGGATTCATGTTGAATGGACAATAGAAATGCTCCAAAATGATGCTGGAAAAAATCTGGCTCCATTAACTTCCATTCAAGTTGCTATTTTGAAGATATGAGGTTTTGTTCCAACAGCAACGACATACATAAATATACAAACATAGAAAATATACCAAAATGAAGCATCTAAAAGCTAAAGTTCTAACAGTCCACATCCATCACTTCCACTCATTTTGGATACCATTCATTATTTTCAGTTATAAAATTCTACACCCACAAGGCCTCAAGGACATTTTTTCTTTGTCATTTACTCTGTTGCTGCATCAAAAGTCATCATTTTATTTCTTGTGTGTGTTTATTTCCTCTGATGAATGTTCAGCTTCTCATTTTGTTTCCATAACACTAAGTCTTGAAGCGCAAACAGTTCATTTGGGTGAATTTCAGATATGATCTCCACTCCATCTTGTGCTCGCTCTGCGCCTTTTCCTCATCAGTAGCTTATCTGATAAAAGCTCATTTCAGGCCAAGAAAAATCCGCTTCCAAAAATGCCTTGACTAGTTTAAGACGTAAAGAATTGCTCTGGGATAAGCCTTCGTGCTGCAGTGCTGAGCCAGTGGATCAAAAGACCTGCTACAGCATAGAATAAAGAAGATGAAGTAAGTAATATCGAACAATTAATGTATTAATGTTGTCCTGCACTTTCAGTTCCCAGTTTTAGTTTCAAAGGTTTGGTTTTAGAATGAAAGAGTGCATTAAAGGTGCCATTTCGTTCATTTGATTTCTTTCTCTGAGGTCTGCTTAGGATGTTTGTGTGGCTTTATGTACAAAAAACAGCTGTAATTCATTTTTACATGATCATTTTCCAACCTCTATTTATGCCTTAGAGTTAACAGGCTGTGCCTTTAAGACTGATATCTCACTGCAGTCAGAACAAAACTTCATATCTCATTTTTCAGTTTCTAATAAATTTTGAAAACACCTGTTACTCCTTACATTTTATCTAAATTTCATCATGAATGGACCAAAAGAAACGGCACAAAATGGCTTGGAATAAAGTCTGGTTCCATTGACTTACATTAAAAGTAAAGTAGGTTTTTTTCCTTCTTCTGTAAATTTACCATTTTGGAGATATGAGATTTTGTTACGACAACAGTGATATGTTAACAAGCTCTGATTGGCCGCCTGGTATTGTGCCTCATTCAACACTGCTTATAACTTTAAGGTGAATGGGCAGAGCTAAACCGCTATAGGCTGAATAGGCATCTATAGATGTGTTAGTCTTTGTGACAATGGGCTGTTTTTGCAGCTTAGTTTCCATATTTTGGAATGTTTGAGCCCAATCCCATTTCACCCCTCACCCCTACCATTTAGCATTCGGCCCTTCGTTTTGCGCGTCCGCGTCTAGGGGTAGGGTGTCCCGATTCTTGTTGAGATAGAGGGGTAGGGCGAAGTGTTAGAGCTACATGACCCTCCAAACAGAGGTTTGTCAGACACTCCAAACAGAGTGTTATGGGAAAAAAAGAAAAAGATGCAAGATGGAGAACAAGAGACCAAAGAAACCCACAAATGTGAGAATTTTCTCTGTTAAAAAATTACAATAACCACTGTATTATCTTAGTTTAATGTCGTTTCAGTGTATTATGGTCGTTTTCTTCATAACAAGCATAAAAAATTGCTAATAGTATGCTAATGTCTCGGGAGCTAGCTAGCTAAATTACCCGTTCCACCTTAAATAGTCCAGCAGTTCTGAGGTCTAAGGTGCCAGAATGTAGCTGCTGCTCCATTTAAGGTGAAACGGGAAAATTTTAACGAGAAGCTGCAAATAGCTGACATCAGCTTCATATCACTGAAGAATCAGTGGTGGGTGATAATAAATAATTGCCCCCCTCTTTGAAGGCATATGATGCCCTAAATGTAACTAAAGCCCAGCAGTGAGGAGCTGAACTTTACCCTCCTCTGCTGTCACTGCAGACTGGCAGCATCGCCTACAGAGCAGCGCTGGTAGCTGTTAATAAAGTATTGCTCTTTTTATTTGAGGGTCCCATTTCATAGAGGAAGTTTTCAACCACTTCCCATTGTAACTCATTTCCAAGGGTCAAGGAGACACTCGAAAACAAGGGGTAGGGGTAGAAATAAGAAATGGGATTGGGCCTTGGACTGGGGAGTGAACGATATGTATTGAAACTTTAATGCTGTTTATATATATCAAACTCTTATTTAAAAAAAAAAGCAAGGGAAATGTGTTTTCTCCATGCATGGATTGCAGCATCCAGGCCAGCTTTCAGATAACAGCAGCAACAATAATAATAATCTCAAAGCAAATTCTGGGGCAGCTGTGACATCGTTGCTATTCTGGAATGGGTTTTTAAATTATTTCCAATCTCTCTAAACCTCCAATTTCTCCAAGCCTTTTGAAATGTACATTAGTCAGATAGTCTGAATGAGAGCAGCTGGGATATATTATGCTGCTCACTACGTCAGTGTTGAAATAGCAGAGACACAGGAGGCACTAATTGAGCTGGAAGTGAGTAAGACCCTCTCAAAAGACAAGCACACCAAACTCCCTTCTCACTGCTTAATGAGCAGACAGTGTCATATCTCAGCCCTAACACGAACAATGGAGGAGTTCTTTTAAAGATCACACACTACTGTGAGGGACTGAATAAGGGCGCTCGGCTGTGTGTGTGTGTGTGTGTGTGTGTGTGTGTGTGTGCCTGCCTAATACCTACATGACTAATTTGGGCCAGAGACGTGTTCTGTTTTATGACACACAGAGGTATCTTTAGATGTTCTAGAGCTCTGAGACACCGAAGCAATTAGAGAGGAAAGTCTCCGCTGTTTGTACTGCTGGACCACGAGCCCAGTGTCATCACACACACACACACACACACACACACACACACACAGCTCACTGCTCACCTCCAGTGCAGCTGTGAATATCAAAGACTTTTATTTATATACTCACACTCTTCTCTACTTATCTCTTTTCTTCTCTTCTTGTCTTCTCTCTTCTCTACTTTTCTCTACTCTTCTCTTGTAATCTCTTCTCTTCTTCTCTACTCTTCTCTGCTCTTCTCCACTTCTCTTTTCTCTTCTCTTCTCTTCTCTTCTCTTCTCTTCTCTTCTCTCCTCTTCTCTACTCTTCTCTGCTCTTCTCTTCTCTACTTCTCTTTTCTCTTCTCTTCTCTTCTCTTCTCTTCTCTACTTCTTTCTTTTCTCTTCTCTTCTTCTCTACTTCTCTGTTCTCTCCTCTTCTCTACTTCTTTCTTCTCTTCTCTTCTCTTCTTCTCTATTTCTCTGTTCTCTCCTCTTCTCTCCTCTTCTCTACTCTTCTCTGCTCTTCTCTTCTCTACTTCTCTTTTCTCTTCTCTTCTCTTCTCTACTTCTTTCTTTTCTCTTCTCTTCTTCTCTACTTCTCTGTTCTCTCCTCTTCTCTTCTCTACTTCTTTCTTCTCTTCTCTTCTCTTCTTCTCTATTTCTCTGTTCTCTCCTCTTCTCTTCTCTTCTCTTCTCTTATTCCCTACTCCTTTCTTTTCTTCTTCTCTCTTCTCTTCTTCTCTCTTCTGATCTCTGCTCTTCTTTTCTCTACCTTTCCTCTTCTCTTCTTTTCTCTTCTCTTCTCCTCTACTTCTCTTTTCTTCTCCTCTTTTCTCTACTTCTGTACCTTTCCACTTCTCTTTTCTTCTCTTCTCCTTTCTTCTTTTTCTCATCTTCTCTTCCCTTTTCCACTTTTCTATTCTTTTGCTATTCACTTCTAATCTCTGCTCTTTTTCTTTCCCTTCTTATTTCTACCTCTCCTCTCGCCTCTCCTCTTCTTTCTGTTCTCTTCTTTTCTCTTTTCTTCTATACACTTCCATTTTACATCTGTTCTGATCTGTTTTCTCTCTTGCCAACTCTCTCTCTCTCTCTCTCTCTCTCTCTCTCTCTCTCTCTCCTTTCTTAGCTTTTTCTTACCAAGCCTGGCTGTACATGGTGAAACTTTCACGCAGCTGATTGCACAACTTCTTTACACAATAAGCAAATCAATTCAATACAATCAATACAATTGCATGTGATTTTTCAACTATAATTGGCATGATCAATAGCTAGCATTTTTCAGATTTTGTTCTACACTAGTATATATATAGTCATCTGTGATTTATTATATGTCTATATTGTCATATTGTTATAAAGGCATGTATAAACTGATTTTATTAGTTTTCATCTTTTAGAGATCAGCAGTCGTGATGCAGCTGACTTACTAAGTAAAGCAAATTCTGGCACAAGCAACCATTCAAACAGCTTTCTGGTTAACATTAGCTAGCTAGTTAATTAGGCTAATTAGTTACCAGCAATTTAACAGCAATTTAAAAATATATATCCAATTTACTTTTCTTGCATAAAATTGACCTGATTATTGAATTCAAATAATTTTTTTAAATAATAATGTGCGCATGGGTCCCTTTGGAGTATGTTGCCTTGAGGCAACATTGTGCGACAATGGGACGAAATGATATAGATCCATATTCCCTGAAGTAGTAAGACCTGGCTTGTGACTGGCTAAATCCATTCCACTGTCACACAATGTTGCTTCTAGGCAACAAATATATTTCTGCAAATTCACATAACTGAAATATGATACTGAATGATAAACAGAGGTTTGAAAGTGCTCACTAAGAGATATGACCAAATACATGCTTTTTTGCTGACTCAAACTCTGCCCTTTATTGTTAACCCTGTCAGCGTCCTTAAATATGTATAACATTATTATAAAGTGAGGAAAACGTCTGTTGCCCTGAGGCAACATTGTGCAATAGAGGGTTAAATACATTTAAAGTCAGCCTGAAATCAATTGATGTTCATGTCGCCGCTCATATTAAATGGCACTTGTGTTTTCCTGTAATCTTTAATCAAAGTGTAGCAATTTTGGCTGCTGCTTAAACATCTTCTGCATATTGATTAGAGAGAAAACACTCGGCTAGCTCAGCTGAGAGACCCTCATGCCGAGTTTCGCTCAGAAACACGTCGCCGTACAGATGGAAAATGCATTATGACGTTAAATAGACTGGAGGAAGCAGCTTCTAAATCAATTCTCATCAAAATTAATAATGAATCCAGCCTTTTCACAGCACTGCTGATCAGCTCTGAGGTCTGCTTCTACCTACACTTTAAAGGAATCCATACTGACATTTGCAAGCGAGGTGCAGCTGCGTTTTCTGTTTTGTTTTGTGTGTGTTGTTGGCCTTTGAATATGGATTTGTGGAGGTTTGGAGATCCTGCATGAAAAGGCCATGTGGAGCCAGCCTTCCTGTCTCTGTGCACATCAATCCAGCCCATCCGGTCTGTGTGTGTGTGTGTGTGTGTGTGTGTGTGTGTGTGTGTGTGTGTGTGTGTGTGTGTGTGTGTGTGAGAGAGAGAGAGAGAGAGAGAGAGAGAGAGAGAGAGAGAGAGAGAGAGAGAGATACTGAGAGACACTGTGGCTGTAAGAGACTGAGGCAGGAATAAAGGCACAGGAGGGAGGTGTAATAAGCGTTTATACAGTGTTTCTGCTTTGTAACCGAGTTTCTTCTCAGATGTTATGAAGTTCACACCTAACAGCTCATATTCTCCATTTAATTCAGCGCAAGCTTCCAAACCCACACATCCGCTGCTCATTGTGTAAAAGACCGCACGCGAGTCTCTCAGACAGATGATGTCACTGAGAACTGCTGCCAGTAGATCTTCCTGAGAGAGGAGAGCAAACTGTCTCACACTAACCAGACAAACACATCAACTACATCAAAATCAGCTAAATAAACAGAACAACTGAATAAAAATCAACTCAATAAAGAGAGTAAATAAAATAACTTAATCCAAATAAACTAAATAAACAAAATAAACAGAACAACTCAAATAAAATCAACTAAATAAAGAAAGTAAGTAACCAGAACAAGTAGATCAAATTAACTGTGTAAACGAAGTAAAATCGGAGCAAAATTAAAATAATCTGAATTAAGAAAGAAAATAAACAGAAAATCTAACAACAGGAGAAACAAAGTAAATAAACAGAACAACTAAATAAATAATAACTAAATAAACAAAGTAGATGAACAGAATAACTCAAAATAATAACTAAATAAAGTGAATAAACAGAAAAGCTAAACAAAATTCAACAAAATAAAGAAAGTAAATAAACAGAATAATTTAATTAAAATAGACTATATAATGAAAGTAAATAACCAGAAAAAACTAAATAAAAATCAACAGAAAAAAACAAAGTACGTAAACAAAACAACTAAATGAAAATGAACTAAAACAAAGTAGATAAACAGAACGACTAAATGAAGGTGAACTAAATAAATAAACCTAATAAACAGGTCAAAGAAATAATCATAAACTAAATAAACATGTTAAGTAAACAGATCAACTAAAAAAACTAAATGAATGAATTTAAATAAGTGGATCAACTAAATAAAAATGTTTTAAAAATCGACCAAACACAGATAAAGTAAAAAAAAAAAACACTACATAAATGCATTAAATTAATGGATAAACTAAATAAATAAACTAAAATATATTACCTAAATTAAAATAATCTAAATGCGTAAATTAAATAAACACATCAGCTAAATCAAAGAACGACTAAATCACCCAATTAAACAAAAATAAACAAAATAAATTAACTAAATGTACAGATAAACTATTGAGAATAAGCCAAATAAACAGGTCAACAAAACAAAAATGAACTAAATTAATTCATTAAATTCACAAATCAACTAAATCAAAGAAGTTTAATAAATATATAAACAGATCAATCAAAGAAAATAAACAAAATACGTGAGAAAGAGAGAGAGAGAGTGAGAGAGCACATGGTTCGTCATTAGGATAAAGAACTGAACAGTCTGTGACTGTTAATGGTGTTTGGGTGTGGGTGTGTGTGTGTGTGTGTGTGTGTGTGTGTGTTCTCTCTGACACCAGTCATTGGTCACACTGGCTAGCAGGTGTGTGTGTGTCCGAGCTGGGCTTTTAAATCATGCTTTCCGCTGTTTTTCTATATTTTAAATGCATAGTAAAACGGTCTGAGTGAGAGCAGCTGAAGTACTTTAAGCTACACGTTATGTGTGTGTTGAAATGGCTGAGACACAGAAAGGACTAATCTCGGTCTCTCTCTGTCTCTCTCTCTCTCTCTCGCTCTCTCTCTCTGTCTCTCTTTCAGGCTCCATGCAGGTGATGAATAAGACTCGGCGGATCATGGAGCAGGGTGGGACGCACTTCTCCAACGCCTTTGTGACCACACCCATGTGCTGCCCGTCGCGCTCCTCCATGCTGACGGGGAAATACGCTCACAACCACAACACCTACACCAACAACGAGAACTGCTCTTCACCCAGCTGGCAAGTCCAGCACGAACCGCGTACATTCGGAGTCTATCTCAACAACACGGGCTACAGGACAGGTGTGTACACGCACACTCGTGCACCACAGTGACAGCCAAGCACGTCTCATATTCACTATTACACATGTATGTGGCCCACTGAGGCCCAGGGAAACATCTCATTTATGCAGTTTATCCCAGTAACCTTAAGGTAGGTGATCAGCCAAGACGTGTCGGGTGTCTGAAATTTGCAGCTTTATTTTTGCACTGGTGCTACGAGGCTACCAGTTAATGCAAGCTTATACACCAGCATGAATCATCACTCTCTCTGGTTATATAAGTAGACACTTTAATTCAGGAATATTGTTTTCATCATATAAACACAGGCTTTGCATTAACTGAACATGAAAATCATGTCTATAGCATGAACAGGTGTGTCATACTGTATCATACATCATATATTCTCACGTTTCGCGTGACGTCACACTGTATAGATGCTGCCACTTTGAGGACCGAATCAGGGAGAGACTGCCTTCAATTAGCTGTGCTTTGTGAACGATTCACCTGCAGGACGCGACAGAAGCTGAGAGACGAGAGACACATTTCAGTGTTTTCACTCCAGGCTTGGAGCCGCTGCACTGTACAGTTTAGTGTCTCTCTCTGCTGTTCACCTCGTTCAGCTCAAGAAGGGCTTAATTAGCTAATAATATCAGGGATTTTAACCAGGAAACCACAGTTATGCAGCGCAGGGGTTTCAGGACTGGAGCTGAACTCTGAACTAACTGAACTAGCAAACTTACAGAATCACGTCTGTCGAAACACGACGTCGTTTTCCGACCCACGACATTCAGTCTGATATTTAACGCTTATGTTTCTCCATTCAAACGTCATTTAAATCAGAAACAGAGAGTAAAGTTATACCGGCTGTCTGCAGCTCCGTTAGGGGGCGACTGTTTATCTCTCTCTGTTAACATCAGCTAAAGTTATCTAAAGGCCAGCATTGATCGCATCTGTGTTAATTAGCTGATGTCGTTACCCTCCTATGATGACGGAGTGTTTTCTCCTCTTTATGCAACACCATGGGATCCTTTACCCACCCTGACGTGAAGAGCCGGTGGGCTTCTGTGCTTTTAAATGCTGTGAGAGACTCTCCAGAATAGGGAGAGGGGCTGAGTATGAGATCAATATAAATGTCAGGAAAAAAATTTGGTAGTTTTCCGCCAGTTTAAGTGGAACCAGGAGTTCAGGGGAAACTGTATAAGGATCTCAGCCTATTTTATCGACTTTGTCGAGGTCACGTTTTTCTCTTCCACAGTAAGGAGAGTAATTTTAGCAGTCTTTCACCTCCAGTTCCGTTCATGTGGAGCAGCGAAACCAAAAATTCGGTCCCAAATATGGCGCCATAACAGAAACATCACATGACTGAAACAGTCAGTGGTCCCAGCTTTCAACCAATGATTGTAAGCCTCTCACTCTCATTTATATAGCTTGTGGATTGTTGTAACAGTGGAGGGTCTGTGGGGTACTGGAACTTTTCACTTGGCTATTGCTTTTGTTAGTTTGCTGCTCATTGATTTGTCCATAGGTCTCGCATGTGCGCTGCGTAGCCCAGTCTCCTTCAGACCTCACTTAAAAGGTCTGTTTGAGATTATATAACTTTATAGGTTTGCGTCAAATGTGCGATGATTTAGGCTCAGTGCTAATTGGACAGGTATAAACATTCCCTACTTATAAGCTACATTAGCCTCATAGCTTCAGGGCGAAACAAAAGAAGCAAACTTCAGACACTAAACATGTCTTGACTATCAGAATCTGACATGTAGACATACCTACATGAACTATATTCTCAGCCCTGGAGGAATTCTCTACCGCAGAATTAAGTGCTTCCCCTGCTTTACCACCTGTTTCAGCTCAAGAAGTAAATCTTTCATTCCCGATTCCAAGGAAAGCTGAAATCTGTGCGGTGCAGGGGTCTCCCAAGACTGGATTTGTATGGTTTCCTTTCCAAACATCATTTTTCACCCCCCGCTGAAGTTCATGAAACTTTCTAACCAGGTTAACCTCATGTGTCTGTGAGAGTGAATTCTATCACGGTTATATATACGGTGCTCAACACGTTCTTGACACATCTGCCATTTTTTTCATTCAGGCTAAATTGATTTTTTCCCCTTAAGTGCTGTTATATCATAGTAAACAGACATGTGGTGACCTTTTCAAACGCACACACTGGAGATTCTGTTTGACAAGCCCTGCGGTCTCACACACACTCTGTCAACGTCTCCCACACCCTCACACACTCTCGCACATGCTCTGACTGAGGCACTGACAGAGCCTGCTCCTAAAGACAGTTTACATTAGATTAAAAGCCTCAGGATCATTGTAGATAATCAGGACATTAGCCATTTTGTGTGTGTGTGTGTGTGTGTGTGTGTGTGTGTGTGTGTGTGTGTGTGAGAAAACTGCTTCCGGGAAAAGGCTTGAGCTGTAATATGAAATACACACACAACATAGACTTGTTTTTCTGCAGTGTCAGGATATCCCGTGTGTGTATATATACATGATGTCATATATATATTTATATATATGCTGTCGGAACATTACAGGAGAAGGACAAAACATACTGTACTTTTAATGTACGTCAATGGAACCAGACTTTTTGGTCCATTCATCATGAAATTTACACACAATGTAAAAAACAACAGGCACTTTTAAATTATGTCAAAAACTGAAAAACGACAAAAATGGAGATATGAGGTATCACGGTTTTATATATATACATATATATATATATATATATATACATACATACATCATCTGACCCGCTTATCCTTCTGGGTCGCGGTGGGGTGCTGGAGCCTATCCCAGCTGTCATTGGGCGGAAGGCAGGATACACCCTATATATGTATATATGTATATATGTATGTGTATATACACACTACACTACTACTACAGCTGTCAAACATTTAAAATAATTCATAGGAATTAAAAACATTCTTTTGTGTAGTTAATGACTACTCACTGGTCTTACTTGCTCAAATCTGCTCATGTAGAAAGAATTATTCCATTTAAAAAACAAAATAAGCTTCATCAGAATGGCTCTTGAGGGCAACTGTAACTTTCCTGTAACTTTAATTGCTGCTTAGTGATTTATCCATAGTTCTCCTGAAACAGGAGGTGCTGAAGGTTTTGCCTTAGAAGCCCTATTTGAATCCTGCAATTGTGGATTCTATTATATCAACATACACCAGCAGCTGAGCTTCAGTGTACAATACTACTAGACTAATTATCTATCTGGGTCATTCTACAAAAAACGCCCACTTATCTATCCATAGGTGTCACTGGTGTTACTGATCGTCACTGGTGTTACACATAAGAAAGGAAACACCAGAGACATTTTTAATGAAAAATTTTACTGCATTTGGCTGCTACAGAGCATCAAACCACATGTTGTCAATCATGGAATATCCACTAAAATATGGAATTTAATCCATTTGTGTTCTATTTTTTCACAATTACCTTAGAATAAAGTCGGTCACACCAGTGACTTCAGCTAAAAGCTTCATATGAAATCATGAGCTAAATGAGAAAATCTCTGATAACTGAAAGACACAGTGGACTCACCATGTGCTTTTCTTCATAGATCCTCAGTAAACAGGTAAAATGAAGTCGAGTGATGTCATCAGTGTGATTTTTATTTCAAAATAAGAGATTTTTTTGTTATGCAGTAACACCAGTGACACGACTCCTGGGGACAACTTTCATTATATATTTTATAATGTTTATTTGGCATATGTTTTCTTTATGTCATTTAAATCATATATTTCATAGTCATGTTTAGATTATTGCAGGTAAAATTGCAGAAAAACGTTTTTTACCTCAAAATATGGCCTCACCCTTCACACATGACTGTGAGGACGAGCTCTTCTGTGGTGCTTGGAATTCTATATGATTGATTTAAAAACCAATATTGCTAAATTGAGGCTCAAGAAGGTGTAATTGTTAAAATAACTTATTGTTTTATTTTAAAATGTAAATAAATTGTAATCCTAACATGTTTTTCAAGTACAATATATCTGTAAATTCTAGGGACACAAAAATGGACGTTTCCATAGAATGACTCATATAAAAAATGTGGATTCTTTCTCCTTTAATGTTACCGCCTCAATATAAAAAATAAAATGCACTTTACAAAGTCAGGGCATTTTATTGGCTCTGTTTTTTTTTTCTTGTTTTGTCCTGAATATGTAGAAAAACAAACACACACACATACCCACTCATATATAGACACCTGGCAGTGAGTCAGCTTTTAGTGGTTCGAGTAATCCATTAGAGCAGCACACTTTCTCTGGGAGAGGCGAGCTTAGCCAATGAAAGCCCTGACATCCAACCTAATGTAATGCCTGCAATATCAACATTCATCTAATCATCCCTCTAATCCACCTAGAGAGCTTTGTGTGGGTGTATGAGTGTGGGTGTGTGTGTGTAGGGGGGTGTGTAATAATGTTTACCTCCATGGGTTCTGCTTATAGAACGACTGAAGCTTTGATAATGTTCTGAGGGAAATGATGCTGCTGCGCTTCATATCGTCCCAATGAGCTCATGATTCTTTGCTGCACATGTGAGCAAAATTAAGTGGCATTTAAATTAGACTGTAGACTGTGGGGTTAATAAACTGAGTGAAATGAATATGACTTGTTAATGGTTGTTGCATTTGTTCCATTAACCAAGTCATGAAGCACAGTATCTGCTGACTGTGGAAACTGAGGGGTGCAGTGACAGTGATTTGTCTGGAATTCGTATATTTTTGTGTTGAAGGCATGTTTGGTGTCTGTAGTTTGCATCTCAAGTGCGTTGCATAGCTACAAATATTAACCAGGGCCTAATTTGAGCCGGGTCCGGGTTTGGCACCTCCCAAATCAAACCTTTTAAGATTAAGATTAACATTAAGTGACCCTTATTAGTCCCACAATGGGGAAATTCCACCCCTGCATTTAACCCATCCGTGCAGTGAAACACCACATACACACTAGTGAATACACACACTAAGGGGCAGGGGGCAGTGGGCACCCTTGCTCGGAGTGGTGGGCAGCCCTATCCACAGCGCCCGGGGAGCAGTTGGGGGTTAGATGGCTTGCTTAAGGGCACTTCAGTCACGTACTGTCGGCTCAGGGGATCGAACCGGCGACCTTCTGGTCGACCTAACCTCCAGCAATGACTGGAGCTGGAGCCTAGACGGCATATTAAATACATTCATATGACAATCTGTAGATATGTATCAATAGAAAACATAACATATACATTTTTCAACAATGTATACATACAATAACGAAATTTGGAAAAGTTATGTAAGAAAAAGAACGCTGTTCTACGGTCTGCACACACTTTCCCTCCTGTTTGGACATCCATGGTGACAAAAACAGTATTAAAAACAACACCTGTGCTGTTTATCACTTGCAAATGGGCCACTGCTGCTGTGATCGTTTATCTCTTAATATAGCTTAATAACACTGAGCACAACCACTGGCCTATGATATCGGTGTATTATCTACTTTAAGTTTGATGCTTAGGAACCTAATTTACACGTTTGTTAGTCTAAAGATCTCATAATCTCTTCCTCACTCCATCACCCTGATGCATCCATCACTACTCAGTGTTCCCGGACCTCATTATTCATAAATTAAGCCCTGATATCAACCGTCTTAAACCTGAACTGTGCTTTTGTCTATTTTTATAGTTAACTGTGTCGTACAGTACCTGAAACCACATAAACAAGACTGAGATTACCTAACAACTCAGTACTGCCTTAAAGTTTTGGGGTAAAATTGTGTAAATTTTGAGAGATCAGATCAGTCCCGTTTTAAAAGAGCTGCACTGTCTGCCTGCATCGTTCTGGATAGAGTTTAAAGCTCTGCTACTAGTTTTTAAGGCTCTGAGTGACCTTAAAGCACCGCTTACATCACAGACTGTCTGTCTGTTTATGATCTTAGACCTGCAGATACTGACCTTCTACAAACACCTTCAGTAAAATACAGAAAACATGGAGAGACTCGTTCAGTTATTCTGCTTCTAAACTGAGCTCAGTTCAGCTTTTATTAGACAGTTAAGCTCAGAGCTCACTTTTAAAAAGCAGCTAAAAATGTATCTTTTTAATTCAGCATTTAATTAAAACTATCTTTTAATTTGATGTGTCATTTTCTTATGATTCTATATTAATACTTATAATTTCTATTAATACTTATAATTTCCTGTAAAGCACATTGAGCTGCCCCTGGAATTTAAAGTGCTATATAAATGAAAATTATTATTATTATTTTTATTATATTATATTTTTGACTGAACCATTGGAGATGCAAAGTGACAAGATGCTTAAATAATAATAATAATAATAATAATAATAATAATAATACATTTTATGTATATAGCACACTTTTCATGACCACGTCAACTCCAGGTGCTTTCCAGATAACAACTAAATTTATAAAATACATCTAAAAGAAGAAACTTAAGATTCTGCTTGAAAAACACAGAATTTCTTAAAACAAAACAAAATCCTTAAAACACATTTAAAAGGAAATTTCTTAAAATTATATGTAAAAGATCCAGAGTTCACAAACAAAGCAGAATAATTCATGAAAACAGGTCTAAAAAGAGAAGTCTTAAGATTCTTTTTAAAAAGAGATAAATAACCAGAATTTTTCAGAGACTCAGGAACCTCATTCCATGATTGTGGACCCAATATATTAAGAGCACGGTCACCCATGGAGCAGAACAGAGAACGTGGAACTACCAGCAGATTTGAGGATCCAGATTGAAGCAGGACTGTAGCAGAGTCTGAGGAAGTAAAAGATCCTGCAAACATTAATGTAAACATTTATAGACCAAAAGAAGATTTTGAAATTAATTCTCACTCTGTCTGTGTGTGTGTGTGTGTGTGTGTGTGTGTGCGTGTGTGTGTGTGTGTGTGTGTGCGCGCGCTGCAGCATTCTTCGGGAAGTATCTGAACGAGTATAACGGCAGCTACATCCCTCCCGGCTGGAGAGAGTGGGTGGGCATCGTGAAGAACTCCCGCTTCTACAACTACACCATCTGCAGGAACGGCGTCCGAGAGAAACACGGATTCGAATACTCACAGGTGTGTGTGTTTAAGCTTTAAGAGGCCTCTTCAGCTTGCACATGTATTGATCACTCTCTCTTCCCCTCTTTCTCTTTCTCTCTCTCTCTCTCTCCATCTCGCTCACTCAGCCACTCAAGTGGTCAAGGTCAAGATCGTCCACTATCCACAGCAAAATCCCTCTGTCCATCCCCCACTCTCCTCTTCTTATGCTGACTGACACTTTTTTCTGATTCTGTGATTTTCCACCAGCCCGTTACTCTGATCCACCTGATACATCCAACAGTAAAGTGTATTACACCTCTTTGCATAGCGTTGCTGTCGGATCAAAACCTTGTATCTCCAAAATTGTGACTTTACAGGAGAAGGAAAAAACCTACTATACTTTTAATGTAAGTCAATGGAACCAGAATTTTTTGTAATTAATTTTGGGCCGTTTCTTTTGGTCCATTCATCATGAAATTTACACACAATGTACAGGACAACAGGCATTTTCAAATTATGTCAAAAACTGAAAATCAACAAAAATGGAGATGCGAGGTTTTGTTCCGACAGCAGCGATATATATGCTAGTACAGCTTTAATTTGGCCTGAAATAGCTTTAAATAGGTCTGAACTGACCATTTAGTCTGACCTAACCCACAGCACCAAGTTTTGAAGGCAAACCCCACCCAAACCAGGCAAAATTCTATCTGAACTCTACAAGAGCTCCACATTCATAATGATAACACCAGGTTATTATAGTTAACTAACACTATTACTAAAATGGAAAGTAGCAGTAAAAGGTGCTTGTTAAGTGTAATAGAAATTAAAGTGTCAGCTTACAACAACAAACATGAAGTCAGAACTTTAATGTCCACTGCAAAACTAACTAAAATTAAATAAAATTACTGAGAATATTTTTGTTTTTTCAGTGCCTGAACAAAAGTTCAGAAGCGGATCCATTTTGTCTGTGTCTGTCCTTCAGGAAAGCCCAAGCTGAGTTTACTGTTAGGTTCATTTTATTCTATCCTTGTCAAATACCTACTATACCTACTTCATCATAACGCTGAAAACTAAACTGGGACTAAATAAAAGCAACAGTCAAACTATTTGTTTTCAGAAAACAAAATCAATAATATGAAATAAATGAAATAAAAATCATTGGAAGGTTTAAAACTATAATAATCCTAGACAACACCTCTTAGGTCACCATGTACAGGCGATGTTAAGTAATGCAAAGGCAGCAACTGTTGTGGCGAGGCTTTTAAATCATCATCTTAAAGGGAAATCCAGCCGATGTTTGTTTATAGCCAATCAATAATGCTTTTTTAAGCCATAAACCTTCCCTCAACTCCCTAATTATGCCAGTGTAATATAGAATACTTATTAGTCAGCAGATTATCATTATCAGCCCTTAAAAACATTATAATGAACAAAAAAAAATTAAAGTTTCGTAATGTTCAGCTTTCCAGAATATTCAGTACCACTTTAACAGATGTATACACTGATCACTGCTTCCAAACAACAGGCTAATGAGTTGCTCTAATGCTGGCCTTGTGGACCTCTTTGGCAAAAACAGTGTGGAGAGGGAGAAGAAGGAGTAAAATGAGGAGAAAACCTAAAGCAGAAGTAAATATAGAGCAAAATCCATTAAAGGGGACAGACTCGGAGGAGCAACTGGATGGTGAAATTCAATAAGAAAGAAATTTAAATACAAAAATAACAATAAAATAATTTAAATACTCAATTAAATTTCATTCAACCTAATATACAAAAGGATAAATAAGAAAGAGTAGAAAAAATAGAATTCACTTAATCTAATATTCATCAGGATAACCAGAATAGGCTAAAAACAGTAGAAAATAGAATAAGAAATAAGACCACAAATAACCCAATTAATGACTAATGAAACAGCAAATAAGCCTGTTCTCAATGAAATAAGCTTAAGGAAACAAATCAATTTGAAATACCCAAACTCATGAATGGACATAGTAAGAAAAAGAAAAGAAAACTAATTAAATATACTATCCTTGCTTAACCCAAGCTTATAAATAAATATAAGAAAAGAAAAATAAGGAAAAAAGAAGAAAACCAAAGCAATAAATATACAATACTAATGTGATGAAACCCTAAACACACATGTAAACAATAATAAACTTCAATATATACAAATATTTGGGAAACGACATCTGAACCAAAACAAACTCATCTGTTTTTTTGCCACATTGTGTTGTTGACCCCTCCTTTTGCCTTGAACTGGAAATCATATCACATTTTTCTTTCATTCCGTGGCGTATTTGAAAGTGAAACACGGCGTCGGGGAGGTTTGAGCAAGCTCAGCATCTTTGCTTGATGATAGGTGGGAGTGAGATTTTGTTGTTGCTCTGCTTGCTGGTGCACAGTGACATAATCACAGATTAAATGGTTAAAAAAAGAGTTCTGTCTTCTAAGTGATATGATATAATTAATCATGCTTAATATGATTATTAACAAGGCAAAAAGATCAGTTCTGATTTCAGCCTGACGCTCATTTTTTGGCACAAGGTCCAGCGATGTCCACGAGACCAGCGTCGCCACCCGGTCCGCGTCCTCTGCCTGATTTGCACCGTACATGCGCGCTAATGTCATGCTTATATATACAGCATTATGTTTTATGACGCTGCCCGATCTTTGCCCCACATAGCGATCTGTTTACGACATTGTTATAGCAGATCAGCTTGGGGTGTTTAATGCTGAAACCGCTGTATAAGCAGTTTTATTCCAGTCTCAGTCTCTTTCCTAGTTTAACACTACTTAGTATTAAGTTTCTTTCTTTCTAAAACCTTCAGGTTAGATTATAGAGAGACGAGAGGGGCGCAGACAAAACCATGCTGAATGTTACTGTCATTCTGGCTTAGCATGAGAGCATGTCTGTGGCTGAATCTCAAACGGCGCCATTGCATATACCATGAAATCATGGCTTAGGCACTCAGTGCACTAAATGTTAGATAGGATGTTATGCAGCTTTGACTGATTATAAATGGCTTTCACTTAAATATATAATGCACTTTCTGTGTGTAGGAGCTGTTGTGTTGTTATCTGTGTAGGGTGTACTACACTGAATAGGAAGTGAGAGTATATTATGCCTTGTTTGCATTTGCTGTTGTTATTGTAGCGCCCATATAGGCTAAGAATGGTACCGTTTTACAAAATTATACTGTGCAGTTAGATAATCACACCTTAAAGCTTTGTGTTTTTACTGACAAACATGTAGCATAGTTTGCTAACCAAGCAGGGAAGAGTGCAAAATATACACATAATTAGTACTGAAGAGTATCGCTGTTGACGGGACAAAACCTTGTATCTCCAAAATGATAACTTTACAGGAGAAGGAAAAAACATACTTTACTTTTCATGTAAGTCAATGGAACCAGATATTTTTCCAAGTCATTTTGCGTCGTTTCTTTTGGTTCATCCATCATGAAATTTACACACAATGTAAAGAGCAACAGACATTTTCAAATTATGTCAAAAACTGAAAAACAACAAAAATAGAGATACAAGGTTTTCTTCTGACAGCAGTGATATGGTCAACAGCCCAACTACAATTTTAAACTTTTTTGCCTTGAAATGTTTGTGCATATGTGGTACAGATCAGGCAGAGTCAGCTGGTGCCGGTGAACGTAATGTTCTCTACATATGCAGCGGTTTGCATGTGCGAATTGGGCAGGGGACGCAGATTGGGTAGCAACACCCAGCATGAAAACAGCACATAAGGCTATCAAGACAGAAGTTTATCCTGACTAAAAACTAGTAGGTACTCAAAATTCTTAAAAAAAAGTAATTTCTCAAAATTCTAGTCACTAGTAGTTACTCAAAATTCTTGAAAAGTAATTCCTCAAAATTCTAGTCACTAGTAGTTACTCAAAATTCTTGAAAAGTAATTCCTCAAAATTCTAGTCACTAGTAGTTACTCAAAATTCTTGAAAAAGTAATTTCTCAAAATTCTAGTCACTAGTAGTTACTCAAAATTCTTGAAAAAGTAATTTCTCAAAATTATAGTCACTAGTAGTTACTCAAAATTCTTGAAAAGTAATTCCTCAAAATTCTAGTCACTAGTAGTTACTCAAAATTCTTGAAAAGTAATTCCTCAAAATTCTAGTCACTAGTAGTTACTCAAAATTCTTGAAAAGTAATTCCTCAAAATTCTAGTCACTAGTAGTTACTCAAAATTCTTGAAAAAGTAATTTCTCAAAATTCTTGTCACTAGTAGTTACTCAAAATTCTTGAAAAGTAATTCCTCAAAATTCTCGTCACTAGTAGTTACTCAAAATTCTCAAAAAAGTAATTTCTCAAAATTCTAGTCACTGGTAGTTACTCAAAATTCTTGAAAAAGTAATTCCTCAAAATTCTAGTCACTGGTAGTTACTCAAAATTCTTGAAAAAGTAATTCCTCAAAATTCTAGTCACTAGTATACAGTCATATGCAAATATTTGAACACTTGGTCAAATTACGTGTCTTGTTGATTTTCTAACTGAAAATAAAAAAAAGTTTATTCTGACTAAAAACGTTCTGGCTGTTGTTTGAAGGCACTGAGTGGTGAATACATTCGTTAAATTAAAGCTAATAATTATAACTAGTAGCTGATATTTATTTGTCTGTTTGTTTATCAATGATCTGATGGCGGCTGTCATTGTTGCTAGGTAACAACATTGTCATAAGGGCCATCATCAGGAATGTGAAGGTTTATCCGCTCTCCAGTTGTCTGATTTGGGCAAATATTTCCAGCTCTAAAAGATGCAGAAGCGCACACAGATTTGGGCGTGAGCATGTTTACACCGGGAGCAGTTAAACACAGCTTGGTGGAAAAGCTGCTGGCTGATGTACATGAGAATTTAAGATAAGAATGAATTCAGCGTAATCCGTGGATTAATGGTTTACCTTGGTGTGTTCAGTCATCATCTGTGTATGTCTTTCTTTTTGACTGTTTACTGTTTTTCACCCATTTCCTCTCCAAATAAAAACACCCCCTCTGTTCTATATCTGTTTTTTCTCTTCCACAGGATTACCTGACAGACCTCATAACCAACGACAGCATCAGTTACTTCCGCATGTCCAAAAAGATCTACCCCCACAGGCCGGTGCTAATGGTCATCAGTCATGCTGCCCCCCACGGGCCGGAGGACGCAGCGCCGCAGTACACCACCGCCTTCCCCAACGCATCCCAACACATGTGAGTTACTCCCTCATGCCCACACCTCACCTACGCTGCCATTAAAACTTTTGGAATAGCTTGTTATATTAGTTTTTGGAAGTTTATGCACAGTAATAATTTGCATACAATGCAAACTGAACCATTTAAATTATAAGGGCCTGTATGTGGATCCTGGCTACAATCCCTCACTCTAATAACTACATAACATCTATAGTTAATAGGTTTAATTTATAGCAGTTACAGAGTGAAGTCTTCATATTAATAACTGAATAATAAGCCTATTTATTATTAGACAACCTACCTGTAAATAGGCAAGAAGGGTTCTATATGGTCGCAAAAAAAAATTATATATAGTGCTTGTCCATCATAGAAAAGAACCACACAAAGAACATATATATATATATATATATATATATATATATATATATATATATATATTTCATATACATGCAACTGAAGAACACTTTTTTAAAGGGAGTAGGGTCCAAAGGATTATAAATTATTGTTATAAACTTAAAATCAAAAGATTGTTATATAAATGTATTATTTGTTTTGATCATTATTCAATTTTAGGCACTTTTGTGTTTTTGGACTATTAAATAACAGTAAATATCCTCATTTTCAGTAATTTCTGGCAATTTATCTGCCTCGAGATTTGATATGTAACATTAACAGCTTTCTGAGTCATTTTAAAGTAAAAACATTACTGCTTTCCTTATATTTTGCTACTACTTATTTTAAACAGTTGAGGTTTATCAGTAAGATACTATTCAAATCACTTATGCAAAAACTTTCCACTGTTTGACAAATAAAATACTCCTTTTTTTTTTACTCACAAAATAATGTTATTTTTTAAATGTAGACCATTTTTCATTCCTTTTTAAGCAGCTTCCTGATTTACCACATAATAAAAGACAGGTTGTTGTGAATTGTTTATTTTTAATTTCAAGTAATTGATCACTTGTTTCATGTTATAGTAGACCACTCAAAATTCTAGTTACTATTAGTTACTCAAAATTCGCAAAAAATAATTCCTCAAAATTAGTCACTAGTAATTATACAAAAAATAAAAAAGTAATTCCTTAAAATTGTAGTCACTAGTAAACAGTCATATGTCAATATTTCAACACTTGTAATTTTACATTCTCTGTTCTGGAAATGGTGGGAAGCAGAATGTTATTTGTCATGCAGTTGTTTGAGTTGTGGTGTAGTTGGGAAATATTTTCGCTGGCATTTTGAGGCCTCTGTTATGAATGAATGCTTGTTCTCTGCCGTTGTGGAATTCTGCTGGGCTTTATGAGCGCTGGTACTGGAGGAGTGTGTAAACTGGCACGTATAAAGATGCTCTAGTGGACGTGAACAGCACACATACAGCTTTAACAGATCGGAATGCGTGTAATGGCATCAAACAGCTGTCGGAGATGTACGCTTTCTACTGCCCACCGTCCTCCTCCTCACTCCTTCACCATCACATTCCTCTCTCTCTCTCTCACTCTCTCGCTGCTCCTGCTCTGCTTTAACAGTGCAACAGATCTCCCGCTCCAGAAAACGTACTTGTTTTCTCCTCTCGTACACATTTGCTTTTTTATTCTGTCTGCTGTCAGATGTCTCTTTTCTTTTTCTTCACTTTGGCTCTGTTCACATTATCATTGTTCAATCCGATTTTTTCCTCAAATCTGATCTCTCTGACTCGATGGTTAACACTCGTTATTTAAGTGATTCAAATCTGCCATTAATGTGACGAACCGGCGTCCTGAAATGACCCTCATGAGCTCATCCTACTCAGTAACGTCACGTGAATGAATCGCGTGCATCATCAGCACAAACTAACGAGCAGAACGAGCTTCGCTGAGAAGATCATTAACTCTGATCAGCTCTCAGCTTCATTATTAGAGCGAGACGAAGGAGAAAAGGGTGAGATGAGCTGCTTTTCCACCGTTTACAGGATTTAACTTCTATTCGGTGCTGCTGCCATGGTAACGCTGAATGATGCCGCATCTTAAGGCTGCGTTCATATCACCAGGTTGAAGTGGCACAAATCCAATTTTTTGCTCTAATGTGACTCAGATCTGTTTTCAGGGCTGTGTGGACACGCAAATCTGATCTTTCCAAATCCAACCTGAGCCACTTTCATATGTGGTCCTAGATCACTAGATCGTGCTGATGATGAACGCGATTCATTCACGTGACGTTACTGAGTAGGATGAGCTCATGAGGGTCATTTCAGGACGCCGGTTCGTCCACATTAATGACAGATTTGAATCACTTACCTAAACGAGTGTGAACCATCGAGTCAGAGAGATCGGATTTGAGGAAAAAATCTGACTGACATTAACCAAGCTGCTGCCTCCGCCTCCGTATGGCCTCCTCCTCAGCAATCTGTGCACATTTTCCTTTGTTTTCTGCTCTTAAGCCGTTGCGTGGCGTGATTTTGCGAACAGGGAGGGCAGCGCTGTTATTCATCACTCTAACACAGCGGCCCAGTCTAGTACTGGACTCTGCTGCCTCTCCTTCTTCACACTGACACTGATGTTCCCACTTTTCCACGGTACCCCTGCTGCTTTTTCGCCTCTGGACATCCACAGCCCAGCTGATGAAATGAATGTACCTCATATAAGCGTAATTGTTTCCATAACCGTTATGTATGCAGGTTCCTCCGTTTTAATGATGCACACAATTTGAGTGCTAATAGTTCTCCCTTGTGGAGGCTTTTGTGAGTTGCAAGCGAGGTCAGTGAAGTGCATACGAAGGAAACTCAGGACAAAACAGCTGGACAGCGCATATTAAGCATCAAGCACATCAATCAAGAGATAAACCAGCCTGGTTAACAATACAATCAGCACTGTGTTCCACAAATAACACTGAATATATCGCTGCTGTCGGAGCAAAGCCTCATATCTCCATTTCTGTCATTTTTCAGTTTTTGACATAGTTTGAAAATGCCTCCCTTTACAGTGTCATTTCATGATGAATGGACTAAAAGAAACGACCCAAAATTACTTCAAAAAAAGTCTGGTTCCATTGACTTACATTAAAAGTAAAGTATGTTTTTTCCTTCTCCTGTAAAGTCACCATTTTGGAGATACAAGGTTTTGTTCCCACAGCAGGGATATGAAATCTCTAAAAATTCGGATGGAGGTCTAGCATAGTGACATGCCAATATAGACAGGCCTTTAGCAACAGAGCTGAGAGATCATAACTATCAGTATAATTAAAATACATACAGCAGTAATAAACATACCAGACTGGTGATATTAAAATACCATTATAAAACTCATTTGAGGATACTCACCAAACCTGTTTTTTTTTTTTCTATATGAACACAAATTATGTCTGCTTAACATTTAATTTTTCAACATGAGTCGTCTCAAGTGGATTATAGATTAGCACCTCAGCTGTATTAGCAGGCTATGTTACATTAGCTATGTTTACCAATCCTGACGCCTGGAGCTTTCAAAAATGTGGCCAGTCGTTATAAATCTCTGTGTATTTGGCCTAGCAATATCCACCTGATTGGTCAAGGGCATTTTCTCCAGCATCCTGAGCCAGTATTTTTCTGTACTGCTGATTGGCTAATGGCAGCGCACTGAATCATAGAGAGTTAAGGGCCTCAGCATACTTCTTGCGAAACAAAATTCTTGAAAGCGCCTTTCTGCGGTTTCGTGTTGCCTGTCACGGATGCTCCACTAATGCAGGTGGCGCTATGACATTTTATGACAGGTTCCATGACTAGTGGAAAACGATTCCATCACAGTTCTGATTATGGCGACATGCGATTCCAGAATACTGCCACCATTTAAGGTGGAATGAGAAAATTCGAACAAGAAGCTGGTGAATACAAAGCCAAGTAGTCAACCTATATGTTTTGGTGCTTATTACTAGTTAGTACTACTGAATAATAGACTTAACGTCTTACATTGAGGATGTATTCATTGTTTATTTAACACATACACGTTTCACAGTGACATACTGGTGTGTCTGCCAAAGTGCTCAGTGTACTTCTTTTGAAACAAATCTCCTCAAAGTCGTCCATCTGTGTTTCATGGCACGCCTCTTTTTTACCGACCAATCAGATGCTTTGTCGCTGAGTGTTTTTGCCCAGCTGCCATGTGCGCGACACGGCGAATGAAGCCTGTGCGACGTCTGAGGTTGTTCGTTTTCTCCGCAATTACGTCACATTGTTCGCCGAAGTCAGGCAAACGTCGTCTCCGCAAGAAGTCTGCTGAGGAATCCACAGGACGCTTGGCAGCACAGACAGAGAACATGGCAACAGCTTCTATCTGATGTATGATTTATAAACTGGCATTCATTTTTTCAAAGCTCCAGCCAGTTTCACAGACATATTTCCAAACATATGCTCAAAAAGTGTTTAATAGAAATATAATTATATATTACAATATGATGATTTCTTCACTTTTGCTCATAGTAGCTGGCGGAGTGGCTTCAAGCGCACATAATGGATGAAACTTCCTTGCTGTTAAGAAAATCTTGATGAATACTGATTGGAAGGACATTGCAATATGACTGTTATGAGAATTTTATATATTCCTAAAACTACAAGTGCTGAAAATGGTTATTTGGAGCAATGCTGCTGTTGGCTCCTAAAAAACTTGTCAATAAAGGTTTAAAATAATGAAAAAATTAATTGTGTGAGTGTGAAGAACCTTTTTAAAGACCTTACATTATTCAAAAGTTCGGTACCAATTGAAGACTTTTCCTGCATCCTTACATCCGAGCCAAGAACCATTTAGGAATCTTTATTTTTAAAAGTGTATATATGTATATTTAGGGTGGATGTATGATGATTATTTTTATTTAGTGTGATAAATTTAGATTTATTTATTTTGATGCATATAGTTTCATGTATTTAGTTTGGAAAGCTTCTCTGGTTCAAGCAACATTTTTTTTTTATTTTTGTGTTGAATTATTTGTGCATAATTTTAGCAGAATACATAGCGACTTTTAAAACTGCAGCTCCATCTGTAACAATTAACCTCACCTGTGGGATAAATTAGCAC